CAGTCCCAGTTAGGGTCCCTTAAAGGAAGACTACTACCTAGAATCTGCTCTTGTTCTTGGTCAAATGACATTGAGGCTTGTTATTTGTTTACTTAGTAATTTCTGTCCAATTGTAAGTCAATGAAGGACTCTCTGCAGTTCAGAGGTAGAGACGTATGCAATTAAAACGTTCACTGCAATTTACTTTAACACAAAAGGTGGTAGAAAAACACTACAGTAGCAAGGCATAGCATCACTCTTCAAATATGCTATGGAAAATTCTGGGTATTAAGCACAAACCTGAGATGTTCTTACAGGGAATAATGGCAGAGAAGTTTAGTAAAGCTGATACCTACCTAATAATACACACAATCATGGTGGCAAGAATGCTATTTGCTAAAAATTGGAAGGCTAGAGAAATTCCTAGGGAAGATGAGGTGATAGATAAGATATTACAATGCACCGAAATGGAGAGGCTGACGTTAGAACTGAAGGATAAAGACGAGTCAGAATACCACAAAATATGGAATAAATTTTACCAATGGAGGGACATGACAAGGGAGTTCACGAGATGGAATAAGGACTAAAGGTGACATAGGAAGGATGTGAGAGACTATATAAGTTACCTGAGCAGTAATGGGAAAGAATTAAAAAGTATAAAGATTAAATGCATATATGTATATACATCTGTATAAATGTACATAATTTCTTTCTAAGTGTAATAAGTATTGACAGAAATGTATGTCAAAGAAGACCACCGTGTTCAATGTTTTCAATGGTTTTTTATTTTTTAATAAAATTTATAAAAAAATAATAATCTGTGTATTAAGCTGTATGTGGGGGGAATTTCAAGAGGGAGGCTGGTCTAAAGGGCTGATATTTCCATCTAGAAACAACATATTTTGAACTTGGCCATCTCATCTACATGGGGAATTTCAAAGTGGCTTCTCCCAGAAAAAAATTGTGCCACACTTTCTATTTCCTACTCAGTTTCTGGAGATGCTGAATTAACAATTCCAGCAGATTAAAAGCAAAGTACATTTATTTATTGTTTTATTTTATTTGTCAATTGCTTACAAGATAATAGGTACAGGTATAAACATGAGCAAGAATACAGGAAAGAGGTACGAATAAATGGGGACAATAGGACAGGGACGATAGGCACGACAGTGCACTTATGCACGCCCCTTACAGACCTCTTAGGAATGGGGTGAGGTCAATAGTGGATAGTTTGAGGTTAAAGGAGTGGGGGTTAGAGGATGTGACATATCCTTGTTATTGTCAACAGAATGAAACTGATGTACAGATGCAAAGATAATAAGAGACATGGACACCTGCTTCTCTTCGTTCATTTTCTCTGTACTTTCACAGCCGCTGCTGCTGACTTCCCTGACAGGCTAAACTTGAGTCTTGCTGCCATCAGCTGTTAATATGGAGCCAGTGCAGCTCCCAGCCATAAAATGAATGCAAATCTGACAATGTTCTAATTTTAGCATTGTAAAAAGCGGAAGCTACAAGTGCAATCAATCAGAATAGAGCTGTTCCACTGGTTAATTGTTCTCACTGTTCATTCCAGGTTGCTTCTGTCCTTGGTTAGTTTCCACCCATTGCTTCTTGTCTTGCCTTCTGGTGCTTTGGATAAATAAGTTGACCATTCCTGCATGGGTCAAACAAAATGGTGAAAGCTCAAAGAAAGCATATAGATGACTAGCTCGATACCCAGGCTTCGCTACGAAACTACGTGGTCGGGCTTAAGTTTTTGGGGAGGAAAATAAGGGGAAAAGAATTCTGCCTCTGCCTACCAGCATCCATTGGTATTTATCTGGCTAACGTCCTGTCAGTGTGCGAGAGAGTTGAGGGCTGTTTGGAAACTGAAGCAGTATTTTCTGTGTGAGCAAGAAGGAGACAGCAAGGAGCCTGGGCGTGGCTTAGCTCAACTGTTCTGTACTAAAGCTGCTGGGTGCTGTGAAACTAAAACTAAAACTGAAACTCCTCCTCTGCTTGTGTTTTGCATTTGGAACAGATTTCTTTTCAGGTGGGGAGGGGGAGTAGAACTCCTTAGCATCAGAGCGTGTTAATAATAATATACGAAATAGTAATGCTCTGATGGTCATTTTGAAAAATCCTTTCTTAGTGAACACCTAGTCCAAACCGGTAGAATAGCACCTCTGGATTCAACGCCTAGACCAGCAATGGCTAACCTTTTCATTGCCGTGGGCTTGCACCCATAATGCAATGCACGTTCAACCCCCCATGGTCCCCTGCCTCCTTGTGCATGCATGTGGGAGCCCTCCCCCCGCACTGCCTCCACGCATGTGCACACATCTCCCGTATGTGCCCCACCCTGCATGCATGGTAGGTACCCGAAAATCAGCTGGCTGGCAGGAGGCTCACGCATGCTCAATGGAACTGAGCTGGGGCGACGGCTCATGTGCCCGCAGAGATGGCTCTGCATGCCACTTCTGGCATGTGTGCCATAAGTTCGCCCTCACAGGCCTAGACTCTCTCAGCGTTACAAGACTTTGGTGACAATGGTGGTGTTTACTTAAGCACACCGAGAAAGCCTTCTGCCGGATTGGGTTGCCAGGATATACTCAATCTCCCCAATTCTGCCAGTTTGGATGCAGCTTGAGAATTGCTGTCAAAACAGTTCCCTGATTTTGCCTTGGGATATTCTAAGCCAGTTGCTAAGAGCTCGGGGTGGGGTGGGGAAATTATGAATATATAAACCGAGAGAGCAGCCAAACATTTCCCCAGTTATAGTCACGGTGGCCGCAGAGGCTGGGTGTTAGCAATTTTAATTAATGGACGGCACATCTGGTTTTCGAGAACGATGCTTGGAGCACTTTTCGGAGCGCCTTAATTAGGTATTAAAACCTGCAGGTGTTCTGGCATCCGCTGACTTGGCTGCTCGGAGTTCATACAGGGAGATGTGGGGATGTACAGAAAGCCTCCGCATTTGGGCGTATGGTGTGTCGCGCTAAGGTTCTGCCTCCTTTTAATTTTACATTTTCAGGCACAACTGGGTGGCCAAGAAAAATAGTGAGGTAGACCAGGAAACAGTTTTCATCAGGAACTTCTGATTCACAAGCTGATGTGAATGGCATCCTGAAGTATACAAACGCTTTTGTGCAATTGTGGTACACTTCCCACCATTGCTGAATTAACAGAATAATGGACCTTGGAGGTCTTATCTCCTGTCCAGGCAGGAAACCCTATAGCATTTCAGGCAAATGGCTGTCCAATCTCTACCCGACTCTGTATACTCTACTCGACTCTGTAGTTTCTTCCCCAAATACCAAAAACTTTAACCTTAGACTGTCTACTATTGACCTCACCCCTTTCCTAAGAGGTCTGTAGGGGGCGTGCATAAGCGCACCAACGTGCCTACCGTCCCTGTCCTATTGTTTCTTTTATTTTTCTTATATGTACCCATTTCATGTATTCATAACTATGTATACACTTATACTTATTATCTTGTAAACAATTGACAAATCAAATAAATAAATACATAAATAAATCTCTTCTTGAAAACCTCCAGTGTTGGAGCATTTACAACTTCTGGAGACAACTGATTAATTGTTCTCACTGGTTCTCTCCTTGCTTAGTTTCCATTTGTTGCTTCTTGTCTTGCCTTGAATGCGCCAACACTGGAGGTTTTGAAGAACAGATTAGACAACCATTTGTTTAAAATGGTGTAGAGTTTCCTGCTTGAGCAGGGGGTTGGAGTAGAAAACCTCCAAGCTCCCTTCTAACTCTGTTCTTCTGTTATTATTCAGGTGCCCTGAATTTGAATATAATCCAAATAAGGCTGTGTGTGCGAACGTGTGAGGATATAAATGTTTGATCTGCTAAAGGTTATCCCTCACTCCTGAGATAGACCTAGGACCCTTTGAAAATTTTATAATCTATTCCCCTCTTCTCAGCAATGTCTCTTTCATCCTTATCATCTCTAATTCCGAACAAGAAAACGTGGTTAGCTCTTTTCACCCTACCTTAGCGTGCAAACACAAAACGTATGTCTGAACCTATGCATAATGAGATTTGAGTAGACACATTCAGATCTGTGCTGATTTAGAACATACCTTTTCCAAAGGCTTTTGGTTTACTATTTTGTTTTTTCCAATCAAATCTGGGTTTTATGGTGGTTTATCAGGAGGGATTCCTTTTCTTGGAAAGACCTATCCTGATTAATATTGGATAAGAACCAGTAGGGGGCATCATGTCACTACTGTAACTCTTTAGAGACCGTTCTCCGTAGAGTGTTGTAGTTTCAAACTAAATTTCGTTGTTGTTGTTGTTTGTTTATGGCATTAATCCTGAGGTTGCCCTGCCATGAGCAATAATAACTTTCACCTTTGACTTTACACCATAAAATATAATGCATCGTTCCATGACTCTTGTAACTGTGGCTATCCATAAATTCATCTACAGATAAATGAAGCACCACATCATGTGATATTTGTACAAAGGAGTGGTCCCTAAGTGCAGAATAAATGGTATGTATTCCAAAAAATAAGAAGACAGTAAAGTATGGGTGAAATTTTTTCTACCAAAAATTAAATATTGTGTGTGTGTGTATATATGTATGTGTGTAAGTGTGTATCTATCTATCTATCTATCTATCTATCTATCTATCTATCTATCTATCTATCCATCCATCCATCCATCCATCCATCCATCCATCCATCCATCCATCCATCTATCTATCTATCTATCTATCTATCTATCTATCTATCTATCTATC